CTGGCCGTCCCAGAGAGGTGTCTCAGCTCCGCCCCTTCCTGGAAACTAACAGCTGGGACTTGCGAGTTGTTCTGGGAAGGAGTCCTTCCTGCCAGAAACCAGCCCCACCTTCCTCGGTCCGAACTCCGGGGATGGGGACTCCTGAGACTGATGGCCTGAAGGACGGTGGGCAGGGGGGTGCAGGGCCCCTGTCATCCTGCGTCAGACCTGTGCTCAATCGTGTGGGAGCTGGAAATGGCTCCTGGTCAGCGTGTTTTCACTGAGGAGACTGGCAAACACGACTTGGTCCCTTGCCCAGCACACTGAGGGGATTAGGTATCCTTGAGGGCTCCTGGCCCTGAGGGGGACCTGGTTCCTCCCTCTTTCCAGGCCCTTCCATACTTTGACCGGCTGGACTATGTGTCCATGATGTGCAATGAGCAGGCTTACTCTCTGGCTGTGGAGAAACTGCTGAACATCCAGCCTCCCCCGCGGGCACAGTGGATCCGAGGTACGCCCAGCCCTCTCCCCGGGCCCAGCTCAGTGCGCAGACCCCGCTCTGCCAGGTGCTGCCGGCCTGGGTCTTTGGCTCCTTCCTTACCCTCCCCTTTCCGCAGTGCTGTTTGGGGAAATCACACGGCTGTTGAACCACATCATGGCTGTGACCACACATGCCTTGGACATTGGGGCTATGACCCCTTTCTTCTGGATGTTTGAAGAAAGGGAGAAGGTAGGAGAAGGCGGGAAGAAGAGGATGGGAAGATGAGGAAGTGGAGAAGGTGTCAAGGTTAACAAGAGAGGACGCAGAGGAGACACTTAGGGGAGGAGGTTTACTTAACCTGGGTTATATTTTTTTAGGGGCCAGTTATGTTCTTTAGGGATTCTGTTGTGAGGGGCAGGGGAGTGCACCACCATGTGGTCAGACTTAGGGGTCCAGGATTTTGTCCCCAATTCCCTGTGTCCCATCCAGATGTTTGAGTTCTACGAGCGAGTGTCGGGGGCTCGGATGCATGCTGCTTACGTCCGCCCAGGAGGGGTGCACCAGGTGAGCAGCCCCAGCTTCCGTCCATGCTGAGTCCTTTGCGGCCACTGGAGGGCAGTGCTGGCTGATGGAAAAGCCACCATGAGTCCCTGGCCAGAGGCTCTGCTGTGCTCACTGTCACTCTCGTCTGGCTTCTAGGACCTACCCCTTGGGCTTATGGATGACATTTATCAGTTTTCTAAAAACTTCTCTCTTCGGATTGATGAGGTGGAAGAGGTGAGATAGGAGTCAGTGGCGGGAAATCCCTCTGCTCCTCACGCAGGATTTGTGGGGTGTTGGTCCCCAGTGCTAAAGACACAGAGGTGTTGGACATTTGAAAGGCGTTTTCTTGGCCAACAGATGCTGACTAACAATAGGATCTGGCGAAATCGGACGGTTGACATTGGGGTTGTAACTGCTGAAGACGCACTGAACTACGGCTTTAGGTGAAGGACTAGGCTTCTCCCCTGGGGTGGGGACCCTGGACTTCCCTGGCTACACTCCGGACTGGTGTCCGCCCAGAGCAGGAGGCGTGGGGGCAGGAGGGTTAGGGAGGGAGGTGCCTCGGAGTGTTGTTGTCTGTCTGCAGTGGGGTGATGCTGCGGGGCTCAGGCATCCAGTGGGACCTGCGGAAGACCCAGCCCTATGACGTCTATGACCAGGTGGACTTCGATGTGCCCATTGGCTCCCGAGGGGACTGCTATGACAGGTGAGGCCCAGGTCCTCCTTAGCTCACAGTCCAGCTGGTGTCCCTTCACTTTCCCCTTAGCTACTTTGTGTCCTGTGTGTGTGAGTGCTTCCCAGAGCACTGTCATGTGACACCTGTTTTACCCTGAGTAAGGTGTCCTTCCGCCTTAGAACTAGTGTGGCTGCTTTTATTTTTTTTTTTATTTTTTATTTTTTATTTATTTTTTTTTTTTAAATCAATCTTTATTGTTCATATTATTACAAAGGTTCCTCATTTCTTCCCCCCTCCACCAGGTTCCCACCCTACCCTCCATCTCCCCCCCATCCCCCATTGTCCTCATCCATAGGTGCAGTTTATGTTCAGTCTCTTCTTCCCTCAATTTCCCCAATAGTAAATCCCTTTTCAGATAGTAAATCAGTTACTTAGCATTTTCTCATATCAATAATACCTCCACATGCCCAATGATACACTTCACACAAAAGACATTTCCCACTAGGTCAACCAGCCTCATCCAGGCCCCACCCAAGGCACTCACAGATCAACACCCCAGTCCTAAACTAACTCAACACATCCAGATCTCAGCCTTCATCACTTGATTCAGCAGACCCTCAAGTTCCCACGAAAGTTTCCAGCCATGTCTGAGAAGCAGCCGTGGGGCAGGGGCCGGCAAGGAGCAAGCTGTTCTGGGCCTGGCTGCTCAGGGCCTGGCCTCTGTTGCTCTGGTTCATTCCACAACCAGCTGCTCCGGGTCTGGTCACTGCCGCTCCTGACCTAGTTGCTCTGGACTTGGCTGCTGCTGCTCCGGGCCTGGCCGCTCCCAGCCTGGCCGCCGCTGCTCCGGGCCTGGCCGCACCCGACCCGCCTGCTCCCCCGGGCCTGGCCGCTCCCAGCCTGGCAGCCGCTGCTCCGGGCCTGGTAGTGTGGCTGCTTTTAAAAAAAAAAAAAAAAAAAAAATATATATATATATATAATATATATACACACACACACACACACACACACACATACAGAGAGGAAGGGAGAGGGATAGAAAGTCAGAAACATTGATGAGAGAGAAACATGGATCAGCTGCCTCTTGCACACCCCCTACTGGGGATATGCCCGCAACCAAGGTACATGCCCTTGACTGGAATCGAACCTGAGACTCTTGAGTCCGTAGGCCGATGCTCTATCCACTGAGCCAAACCAGTTTCAGCTTGATCGCTGAGGAAGCAGAGGCATGAAGGTCAGAGAAGAGCCCAGGATTAGTCCGCTGGAGTTGAGACTCAGACTCCTGTTCCTGGTTCTTCCCACCAGATCCTCAGTGTTGAATCCCGTTCCTGTGTACTGACCCTGAATGAGATTTCCAGTTGCTTTTTGAGGCTGTCTGACTCTCACCCACTAGGTACTCCAGAAAGTGTTTAAGATGGCGATCAGAGAGGAAAATGTTACTGGACAGGGTCTGAGGACAGTAGGAGGACTTGGGGACAGGCCCAGGACCAGAATCGAAGACTGCAGGCTGGCTGTGGTGCCAGGCCATGCCAGGCGCTCGCGAGGAGGGAGAAGCCCAGCACTTTCAGGGGAGCCTGAGCGCGCTGTCTCCCTCAGGTACCTGTGCCGCGTAGAGGAGATGCGCCAGTCCCTTCGGATCATCTCTCAGTGTCTGAACAAGATGCCTCCTGGGGAGATCAAGGTTGATGACGCCAAAGTGTCTCCGCCCAAGCGAGCCGAGATGAAGGTAGCTGCAGGGCAAGGAGGGGCCGTCCCCGCAGGGCGAGTGAGAGGATCCTGGGATTCAGTTCCTGGGCAGAGAACTCACTCGATGAGAGTCTGCAGCTCCTGTGGCCTCCTCTTCCTCTGCCTTCTCTGCTCACTTCTTAGCCTCCCTGAGGGAGACTGCCCTGTGCCGGGGTGGCGAGGAGACTGGATCTGAGTATTGATGCTCCCTCCCCTTTCCCTCCAGACGTCTATGGAGTCCCTGATTCATCACTTCAAGTTGTACACTGAGGGCTACCAGGTTCCTCCGGGGGCCACGTACACGGCCATCGAGGCTCCTAAGGTGAGAGGAGGGGAAGGAGTGGGCGGCCAGAGACATGCTGGTGAGGGTGTGGCTGGCCAGATGGCGAGGAGCAGCTGCTTCCTGCTGATGGCCCCCTCCTCCCTCCTTGGGCAGGGAGAGTTTGGGGTGTACCTGGTGTCTGACGGCAGCAGCCGCCCTTATCGATGCAAGATCAAGGCCCCTGGCTTTGCCCACCTGGTAAGAACCATCCCGCTGACGCTGACCCCCCACGCTTGCCCTTGGCTGAGATGCCTGTGCGCTTCCCTCCGTCCACCCTGTGGCCTCACTAGCGCTGTCGCTCTCCCCCTGCAGGCCGGTTTGGACATGATGTCTAAGGGACACATGCTGGCGGACGTTGTGGCCATCATAGGTACGAGGCTGTTGTGTGGACAGGCACGGGGCGCCTCTGTGGGGACGGAATCTGGACACTTCCTGTTCTCAGCCTGGGGCACAGGGAGCTCTGGATCCGGGTAACAGCACTCTCTCCTCCCGGCCTCCTAGGCACCCAGGATATTGTGTTTGGCGAAGTGGACCGGTGAGCAGGACAGCGGCACTGCCTCTCCCCGCCTCTCGACTTCCGTGTGAGCCTGTCATCATTGGAAGTGGGCTGTGTGTGCACACACTCAGCTGCCAGGCTTTCTGTGTGTGTGCTAGAAAAGAAAGTAATAAATTAGCCGCTCTGGCCCCTGTGCCAAAGCCTCTGTATGTCTTAGTATCGCACCGTCTTTCATTTTCATGGGAAACGAGTGTTTGTTAATCTTGTACTTCTCTGTTAGATTTTCCTGTTCCTCTCCGCCCCTTCTCTGACTCTTGTCCTTTCCACTTCTCCATTCCCCATTTCCTCTTTTCCCTCAGTGCCCTCCCGCCCCCCAGCCCAGACTTTGGTGCCCACACAGACCAGTACCCCTCAAATCAGGGCCGGGTGTTCCCGGCGGAAGGGAAAAGGCTCGCCTGGGTCCTTGGGAGCAGGTGGCAGTGCCCATGGCGTGTGTCTGAACAGGGCTGTGTGGGAAGCGGGGTATTTGGTCTTTCCCAGCACGGGAGTCCCCTCCCGTGGAGGCCGAGCCCCAGTCACTGGACGCCTGGGGCGGAAGGGCCCAGCCTGCTCTGCTCCCTTAGTTGGCCCTTCCGGGAGCCGCCTGGTTTCTAGCGCAGGAAGGGGAAGGGGCCGGAGGGGGGAGGCGTGGCAGGAAGGGGGGAACTCTGTGGTCAGGGAGCTGCTCACCAGCACAGCTGCGCCGGCCCTCAGCTCGTGCCGCCCTCCGCCGCCCAAGATGATTCCCGCGGCGCTCCTGCTCGTCCTCCTGCTGGTCGAACAAGCAGGTGAGGGCAGTGAGCTGGACTCCCGGGTGGGAGTCGAGGCATATGGGCGGGTGAGGCAGGGGCCCTGGGGGCGGGGGACAGCAGTGGGCAGCTGGACCCAGGGACCCAGGCTGGGCCTGTGTGGTTCCATCTGGGCACAAAAGCCAGTTTCCTCCTTCCTTGTCCCCATCTCAGGCTTGACAGGCCCCCAGGCTCCAGCTGGCGGGCGGGCGGGCGGGGGAGAGTGACAAAAAGCTGGTCTGGGAGCAGCCGAGGTTCCTGTGGAGCCTCTGGTGTCCAGGAGGAGCTGGCCTCTGGCTGATTAAGTCCTGTCTGCAAGGGCCCGTGGGGAGCGGAGCCTTGTGCAGGGAGTAAGGCCAGGCTGGCCACACGGATGTGCTTGCTGCTCCCGCGCCATGACTAACATGCACCTCCCATCAGCCACTGCGTGGAGGGTGGGCAGTGTGAGCATCTAGAGACCTGAGCATCCTCGGGGAAACCGAGGCAAGAATGGGAAAGTCAGCAGTCAGTTTATGAACTCGCCTCTTGCTCTCAGGGTTGTCTTGTGTGAATGATTACAAGATGGATGGTTGTGGCTGCAGTATGGGGGGACAGGATTAGTGAAACTGGAGGGAATTTGGGGAAATTGAAAGATGGAAGGAAGGTTGCATCAACTCAGCTATGAAGGTGGAAGGGTCCGAGAGCGGCCGTGCGCTGGGTGCCTGCTGAGGCCTGGGGAGAGCCGGCGGGCGGGCTCGGCTCTGCCTCCAGCGTCCGGCCACCCCGGCGGAGCTGCCCGAGCTTTGGTTGCGTCATCGGTAAGATGGCGACGTTTCCAAACAGGCAGCTTTGAGATTTATCAACATGGAGTGGGAGAGACCGGCGTCGCAGAATTAAAAGTCACAGGCCCGGGAGCCCATGTGACAGAGGCCAGGGAGAAGAGCAGATGGGAGCTCAGACCCCATTTTACTTCTTTAATTGCACAAACTTCCTCTCAGTGGTCCAGGGTGTGAGGAACAGGGCAGAGTCCCACAGACACCGGTTCCCGACATGGGATCTCAGCGGGGGCCCCTGGAGAACTGGGCGGGTGGGCACTGAGGCCAGGGAAGCGGGGGCCTGGCTCTCACATGCCCAGGGTTGGATGGGCAGAGCGCTGTGTGGCCGGGGCTTGATGACCAATAACTAATGGCCTTCCCGCCCTTCCCCAGCTACATCCTTCCTGTCCGGCTCGCAGCCACAGGTCACAGGACTGAGCAGACGCTCCTGTGGTTTCTTCACTGACATTTGTCACTGCCTTCCCCTCACCCTACCCTCCAGGCTGAGGTTTTGGGTTTTGCCTAGTGCACTTAGATGAGTCCCTTGAGGGCCATGAAGTGCTCAGCTAAGCCTGGGGAACCCCAGTGCTCGAAGGAAAGGCTGGGGCTGAGGGGAGTCCTCCAGGCTTAGTGCACTGAGTTCCAGCCTCGCTCCGAGGCTGCGGAGAGGAATCCAGAGAAAGAGCAAGCTTCCCTGGAGAGCACCGTCAGGCCTGGCCTCCCTCCCAGAATCCTCCCTTCCCTGATGCCTTCGCCCCATGGGCATCCTCTCTCCCCTCAGAGGCCCTGGGAGAGCCTCAGATCTGCTACATCCTGGATGCAATCCTGTTTCTGTACGGGATCATCCTGACCCTGCTCTACTGTCGACTCAAGGTGAGGCTGGGCAGGTGGGTGGGGCGGAAAAGACGGGGACGGTGGTGGCAGCATGGCTTTAAAGAGAAACCCACCAAGGTTGGAGGGAAAGCGGATGGGCCACTAACGTTGCTTTTCCTAATGGCCTTCCTCCACTCCAGATCCAGGTGCGGAAGGCAGCTGTCGCCTATCAGGTATGGATGCCCCTCCCCACCCCCAGGAGCCAATAGTTTACAGATTCAGCCCTTCTGGGCTATAGCCTGGGGGTCTGCAGCCTGGGAGGGCATGAATCCCGGGTGCTGACCTGCATAAGCTTCAGAGACCCCCTTCCCACCTAACCTTACCCACCCTGCCACCCAGCCAAGCCACAGGTGACAGTCCCGCCCCTGGCTGATAAGTCCCTGGGTGTGGAAGAGGATGCTGGGGCCCTGGAGGAGGTGTGGGTCTCTGACACGTTGCTCCTTTGTTTCCACAGAAATCAGACGGCATTTACACGGTGAGTGAGCTGGCCCCGCCCACCCCAGTCCCAGGAAGTCAGCAGGAGAGGGTGGATTTTGAGTGACCTTTGGAAAGGCAGGATCTGTGGGGGTGAGTGGGAGCCGTGGAGGGATGCAAGCTCCTGACTGCCCTCTGACCTTCACTTCCAGGGCCTGAGCCCCCGGAACCAGGAGACTTATGAGACCCTGAAGCATCAGAAACCGACAGAGTAACTGCAGGACCGATGCCCTGGGTCACGTCCTCCTGCCCCCAGTTCCTGTCCAGCCCCAGGGCTGACATCACATATGCCTCCCGCCATTAATGCCCAAACCTCCATGTAAAGATGCTATGCCCCCGTGAATGGACCCATTGGTTCCTCTTCCCTGCCCAAGGCCTGTGCTCACTAATGTGCTTATGCTAGTCTCCTCCGACCGCCCCTTCCCTGCACCCAGCACCCCCTCGGCCCCCCTCCGCACTCCCAGTCACCCCGGGCAATGGGAAGGGAACAGCACCAATAAAGCAGCACAGACTGGGCTCCACTCCTTGCTTCCTTCCTTGTACACGGAGCCTCTGCAGGGCTCTGGCTGGTACTGAAGTTGCCGTTGGGAGGAAGAGTCCCACACCTGACCTCACAGAGCTCAGTGTCAAACGCCAGGCTGTTTTGCTCAATGGAAGGGCAAGTGCTGCTGTGAGGGGACAAATGAGAGCCCTGGCCCCAGGCCTCTCTCTAGTTTGGAGCAGGAGCAGGAGAGTCCATGTGGGACTCCGGGCACATTCAGAGACATTCAAACCGAAGAAGTGACTTCTGGACTGTGGGGAAGCCTGGCTGCCCTGCCTCAAAGAGGGACCAATTCAGTCACAGTGGGTGACAGTCCAGGGGCAGCTCACTGTGTCCGAGGCACAGCCTGGCCCAAAAGCCCGGCGTCAGGAGGGACGATGTGAGGAAGGCTCATGTGATGCCCCAAGGCAGTGGTCGGCAAACTCATGAGTCTACAGAGCCAAATATCAACAGCACAACGATTGACATTTCTTTTGAGAGCCACATTTTTTCTTAAATTTTTAAATATATTGATTTTTTACAGAGAGGAAGAGAGAGGGACAGAGAGTTAGAAACATCGATGAGAGAGATTCATCAATCAGCTGCCTCCTTCACACCCCCCACTGGGGACATGCCCGCAACCAAGATACATGCCCCGGACCAGAATCGAACCCGGGACCTCTCAGTCCGCAGGCCGACGCTCCATATAGTGAGCCAAACCGGTTTTGGCAAGAGAGCCACATTTTTTAAACTTCTTCAAAAGCCACTTCTTCAAAGTGGCCATGGTATTTTGTGGAAGAGCCACACTCAAGGGGCCAAAGAGTCACATGTGGCTCAGAGCTGCAGTTTGCCGACCACGGCCCTCAGGAAGGGTTGCATGGGGACAGAGTTCTCAGTGGGTTCTGGGGCGAGGGGGACCTTAGTGGAACAGGGAGGGATCGGATGTGGGCCAAAGTAGGTAAGTTGGTCCTGAGGGAGAGGAGCTTCTGGAGGCATGGGTGGGCGGGGAAGGAACCCTCCTCAGTCTGTCCTGTTTCCAGCAGAAAGCGGGGTTCCAGGAAGTATGTTATGTTTTCAGATAGAGAAACATAGGTTGCCTTCTGCATGTGCCCTGACCCCAGGGATCAGATCTGCACCCCAGGCACATGCCCTTGACTGGGAATTGAACTGGTGACCCTTTAGTACATGGGCTGACGCTCTAACCACGGAGAACACTGATTAGGGGTGTTTTCTTTCTTAGAGAGAGAGAAACATTGATCAGTTGCCCCTGGGTATCAAACCCTCCACCTTCTAGTGTATGGGATGATGCTCCAACAGCCACACCGGCCACGGCTGGAAGTCCTGGCATCCCATCTGCTGTGGCCCGTCCTGCCTCGGACCCAGCAGCCTCTCAGATGGGACTCTGGTCTGTGCCCAGGCCCCCCAGGCTGGGCAGCTCTTTACTCACAGTGACTCACACTTGTCAATGCATTTTTCCAACTCCAATTTGCTCTGCTCACTACCCTGTGAGGATTCAGCTCTTCACAGTTTAACCTGCCAAGTTAACGAGGTTGTCCTATGTGCACTTCAGCACATAAGAACGCCCAGTCCTGGGAAAGAAGGGGAGGAAGAGGCCCTGAGGGCTGAGGGTCATCACTATGCAGAGCCTCAGCTGAAGGCAGTTGCAGATGAGCCATGAGAAGTGTGTCAGGGAGGGAAGCAGCTGCTTTAGAGTCAAGTGGGGATAGTTTCTGGCAATGCCTCCACTTCCCTCGCCACGCACAGCCGCCCAGGCCGCTCTCTTCTGCTCCGATTTAATCCCAGCATCATGGCTCCCAGCATCTCTAGTCCCTCCGGCGGAGCCAGCCGGAGGGACTAGAGATGGTGTGGTGTCTGCTGGCTCCAGCTCTGCAGTGGCCGCTGGGCCAGGCAGGCAGCACCCAGACCAGAATGGGGAGGGTGTGGAAAGGTGTCCCCAGAGAGGGGTCCAGGTGAGAGCAGTTTGGGGAGAGTGAGCGAACCTTTTACTGTAGGCAGGGTGGGAGCAAGCAGGTTCCCTGGCTCAGAGGGAGGGCGGGCCTGGGTGACCTCTGTGGGTTCACCTTCTAGAAGCTGTCTTCTCTCCACAGGCGACGGAGAGGAGCTTGGGAGCCTTGTCTCCTGAGCCCTGCCTAAGGCCAAGAATCCAGCCTGAGTCTCATGCCTTTCTCAGCCTCACATCCATACAAAGGTTCTTTTTCATTTTTAACATATTTTTATTGATTTTGAGGAAGGGAGAGAGAGATAGAAACATCAATGATGAGAGAAAATCATAGATCAGCTGCTACCTGCACGCCCCACACTGGGGATCGAGCCCACAATCTGGGCATGTGCCCTTGACCAGGAATCGAACCTGGGACCTTTCTGTCTGTAAGGCCGACGCTCTATCCACTGATCCAAACCAGCTAGGGCCATGCAAAGGCTCTTCACCTCCTCAGAGCCGCTCCGGGCCGGGAGGAGACTCCACGGGCCCACTCTGCCGTTTCCCACATTTGCTCTTGGACCCTTTCTGCACCCTTCACACCCGAGCCGCTCCTCCTCCCGCCCTCACAAAGCTCACCATGCGCCCCTTCACTATTCACTGTAGAAGCAAGTGGTGCGGAGGGAGGGGCCGGAGGCTGGCCGGACGTGTCCTAGGGGCCAGTGTGGTGGCTGGGCGTCCGGCAGTGATGGAATACCACGAAGTAACTGAGGAAGCTCATCAGGGATGAGGCAACTGTTCTCTCAAATTCGAAGCTCAATTTCCCCAATGTCCACCCCGAGCTCAGTCTCCTGTGGGCCCTGAACACCCCCTTGCTGAGACTTATTTGGCCTGGGCCTGGACCTCTGGGCCCTTGACCTTCTGCACCAGGTCCTTGCCATAGTCGGCCACGGTCTGCAGGTTCTGAGAGAATAGGCTCTGCAGACTCATCTCCTCTGTCTGCTTCCGGACTTAGGCTCTTGGGCACAGAACACCCGCCCTTTTCAGCTGGTCCCCAATACCGAGTCCTGGCCTCCAGCGAAGCTGCTCCAGTGCCCAGGCCAAACAGGCTCCCACTTCAGGCCTTTGGATGAATTTTCTGGCTTTAGGGGGGGAATGGTCTTTGTTTTGAGCCCTGGGGTAGCCAGATCTGGACACAGAACTGGCAGATGGGCAGCCAGGACCCTCTACTGCCTTCTCCTTCGGACCCCCCTCCACTCCACACCCACCTTCGAGGCCAGAGATGGTGAGGAGCAGCTTGGTCACTATAAGCAGCTTCATGGTGGTGTCATGGGGAGGTGGCCTGGAACAGATGGAGGTGGGGCGACACTGAAGCTGGGTGGGCTTCAGCCCCTCCCCAGAGACCCTTCCTAGGTGCCCACTCCAACGGGTCCCTTCTCTCTCCACAGTTAAAACCTGGTCCTCCTTGGATGCTCCCCACTGGCCAGCACCTCTGTCCCTGTGCCTGCGCCTGGCTGGGGAGGCAGGGCTAAGTGTCTGCCTGCTTCTCTGCCCCCTCCCCCTTGCCAGGTGACAAGGAATGTGGAGGGACATTGGGGTGGACCATGTTGGAGAAAACAAGTTGGAGGAATGAGGACAGGACAAGTGCATGGGGGACGCCTGGTGCAGGCCTTCATGGTGGCAAGGGGGTGTCCTTTAGGCCTACTGGAGGTTCACTCTGTTGGGGTCTGAGGCAGCAGCCCCTAGCTCTGAAGGCTGCAGGAAGTAAGAGTGCCTATGACATATCAACCCTCAGCCCCCAATAACTGTCCCATTAGATTTTGTCTCCAAGTCTACCCCTCCTCCCCCCACTTCACTGCAACTTGCAAGAGGTTTGGGGAACAGAAAAAAGGAGAAAGGAGTTGAAATTAGGGGTAGGGATGAGGGCCAGAGGGCAGGTGATCCGCTTGGTCTCTTCCTCAGTAATGGTGATGAGAGGGGGTCGAAAACATGTTGGCCAATTATCACAGCCTACCCCCCAGTCAGAAAGCAGCCTCTGCCCTCCACCCCGTTGGAAGGCTCTGGCAGGAAGAGGTTCACGTTAAAGGGTAGAAGTTGAAGGTCCCTGGTCATTGGGCCACCTTATCAGGTCGAGGTGGTCGCCAGCAGAAGTGAATCAGCAGGGGCCACAGCACCCCACTGCCCCGCCCCCAGGCATCTGGGAGAAGTCAGCTGGATACCAGAAGCATTTGCATCTTTCTCCTTTTAGCCTTCAAAGTGTAGCAGGACATCCCGAGAGGTGGCGCGGAGATCCGAGGACCAGCGAGGGCTCCCCTTATTCCCTGTGGAGCCCCGATGCTGGAGGCACTCCTCTGACCCCGCCGGCCCTGGCGGAGCGCCCTGGGGGCCGGGCCCATATCCCGGGGTCGTATCGGGCCCTCTGCCTGCGGAATCGGGGAAGGAAGGATTGATGAATTGCAGGGGCAGCTGTTTCGGGGGCGGTTCTGCTAGAATCGCGGCCGCAGCCCCGCTCCTCCACACCCCGGCGCTCACCGGCCCCGCTCCGAGGGCCGGAGACTGCGCGGGAGGCGGCGCGGTCCCAGGCCGGCGCGCAGCTCGTGGGGCAGCGCGTCGCGGAGGCCCAGCGACCCTGCGTGGGGGCGCCGAGGGCGGCTGAACCGGGTGGAACATGAGTCCTCCTCGTCGTTCCTCTCCCTCTTCTCCAAGGCTCTCCCCGCCGGGGGCGGCGGGAGCTTCGGCCGCCCAGGCTCCAAGCTGCTCCCCCTCAGAGCCCCGCGTCCCACGTCGACGCGGAGGAGCCTTGGACCAGCCAATCACCCCGGGAGCTGCCCGCAAGTCCCGCCTCCGTAGCTCCGAGGCTGGAGCTTTCTGGACGCGGCGCCTGCCACTCCTCTGCCTCCTCCTCTCCCATTGGCCCCTGGGAAACCCAGGCCGCCTGTCTTTAATGGATTGGGCGGGGCCCGGTCAAAGGAGGGTCGGTCTTTAAAAGCTTTCTTTTGCCCGGTTCCAAGATGGTGATCCTGACCACGCGGAGACAGCAGCATGAAGCCGCGGTCCTGCCATCACTCAAGATGGCTGCCCCCATCAAGATGACCGGGGTGTGCCGGGGGGGAAGGGGCAGCACGAAGGTCTGAGACGGTAAGGCGACCGATCCGTGGCGAGCCGCGCCTGGCGGCCTCGGGATGGAGGGCAGGGAGACACGGGAGCGGGGCGGCCGGCGGGGCCAGGTTAGAGACGGGTGACAGGTGGGGCCGTGGGGCCGAGATGGGACGGACTGTGCTTGCGACTCAGTGCCCACACCGGTGCCCCGCCCGCTCTTCTCGTTCCAGGCCTAGCGTCGGACCATGCGGAGGCTTCGGGGGCTGGGGAGCCGGGTGATGGGGGGTGGGGCCCGCGGGGGGTAGAGGGAGGAATAGCATCCTTTCCAGCTCCCCCGGCCCCTCCTCGTCCTCCGGACTAAAATGGGGAACACGTTGGGCCTGGCTCCGATGGGGGCTTTGCCCCGCCGGAGCCCCCGCCGAGAGGACCCTCTGCCCAACCCCGGGAGCTTCGATGAGCTGCACCGCCTGTGCAAAGGTGAGCGCTTGAGCCGGGGGGAAGGGGCCGAGGGGCGGTCTGCATGCTGGGTGCGGGGCTGGGAGCAGGAGAGGAGATCGCGCCGGCTTCCGGCCCCGGGGGACCCGGTGCCGCCATGGAGCGAGTGTTTTGTTGCAGAACCGGAAAGGAGTCGGTTCCTCCAGAGCGCTTGCTGTGACACGCGGGGACTGCTCCTGGGGTCGGGGCTCCTCTCTGTGCTGACTCCTCCCCTCCCTCCCACCTTCAGATGTATTCCCAGGACAGATGGAGGGAGTGAAGCTCGTTGTCAACAAGGTTCTGAGCAGCCATTTCCAGGTGCTCCCTCTCTCGGGCCCCTCCTGCCCGGCCCACCCTCTCCTTCCTCGCTCCCTGCGCCGGGCTGCGCGGAGGCCAGGCGCCGGGCTCTAACTCCCTTGCTTGTGGGCTTGCTTTCAGGCAGGTGACCCTCAGTGTGTGCACAGTTGGGGTCGTTAAAAGGCCTGGATGGGGACGGGGTGGAGGGGGAGATGGGGACGGGCGCAGAGGAACGCTCTCCACCGGCTTCTCTTCCCCAGGTGGCTCACACGGTGCACCTGAGTGCCCTGGGCCTGCCTGGCTATCACCTGCACGCGGCCTATGCAGGGGACTGGCAACTCAGCCCCACCGAGGTGAGGACCCCGCACCGGCCGTCTGTCTCTCAGAGCCGCCTCGCCTGCGGGCGGAGGAAACGTGTGTTATGGGGAGGGCGCTCCTCTCCTCTCCTCCGGGTTTCTTCTGAATGGGAGAGAGGAGGGACCGTGTGATTGAGTGGTTTTTCTTTGTGGCTCCATTAGGGGGCGCTGGGTGCCGTTAAAGAAAGCCCATGGTATTTGGGTTTGGGCTGAATGGAACCAAGCCCAGCTTAGTCTGACTGTCTAGCTCTTCAACAGGTTTTCCCCACTGTGGTAGGTGACTGGGACAGCAGCGGCAGCCTCAACGCGCAGGTCCTGCTCCTCTTGGCGGAACGGCTCCGAGCCAAGGCCGTCTTCCAGGTGACCCAGCTTCCTGCCTCCATCCAGGGTTTCTTTCCTCCACGAACGTGCTGCTCCGCGGCCGGGGAGGAGCAGAGGACACAGATGGCAGAGGGGGAGGGAGATCTTACTTCTCTGTCCCATCCCAGACGCAGCAGTCCAAGTTCCTGACCTGGCAGTTTGACGGCGAGTACCGGGGAGATGACTACACGGCGACTCTGACCCTCGGAAATCCTGACTTGATTGGGGAATCCGGTGAGAATCGGACAGGGCTCTTTTTGTCCTGGCCGCCCACCTGCTGATGGCGTCCTCTTCACCTCGCTCACTTCGGCGATGAGAGAAGAATCCTGCAGGCGGCCTGGGTGGGGTCCCTGCAGGGAGGGCAGGCCGGCGTGTTGTCTCCCTGACTCTGTGTCTCCCACTCCCAGTGATCGTGGTCGCTCACTTCCTGCAGAGCCTCACGCAGCGGCTGGTGCTGGGGGGAGAGCTGGTGTACCACCGGCGGCCGGGCGAGGAGGGGGCCATCCTGACGCTGGCGGGGAAGTACTCCGGTGCGCGGGGGGCGTGATGGAGGGGACGCTGGGCTTGGCTGGTGCCTGGCCTGTGTCCGCAGCAGTAATGCTCCGTCCTCCATCTTTGCCTTTCACAGCTGTACGCTGGGTCGCTACGTTGAATGTGGGGTCAGGTGGGGCCCATGCAAGCTATTACCACAGGGCGAATGAGCAGGTGAGCCGACTGACCCCCCCACCCCCCGTATGTCACTCTGCCCTGGTGCCCACCCTGGGCCTCCACGGCCCTGCCGACCGCTGTCTTCCGCCTGCGCTTCCCATACATGTCACGGTGTCTCCTCCTGCCGCCGCCAGGACCCGCAGTCTCTACAGAGACAGACCTCTCCCCCTCAGGTTCAGGTTGGCGTGGAGCTGGAGGCAAACACCAGGCTACAAGACACCACTTTCTCCTTCGGTTACCACCTGACCCTGCCGCAGGCCAACATGGCGTTTAAAGGTGAGGGCGAGTGGGAGCACACCGGAGCTGTGTGGGATGGGGGCAGGGAGGGGGTGCTCCCTCTGACTTCTGCCGACTCCTTTCTGCAAGCCCGGGCACTGACCTGCGCGTCTCCTGCGCAGGCGTGGTGGACAGTAACTGGTGTGTGGGCGCCGTGCTGGAGAAGAAGATGCCCCCGCTGCCCGTCACCCTTGCCCTGGGGGCCTTCCTCAACCACTGGCGCAACAGGTTCCACTGCGGCTTCAGCGTCACTGTGGGCTGAGGCCGAGCCCCAGCAGCTGCAGCCTCTGAGTTCGGTGCCCGAGGCCAGAGCCTGGGCCTTCTCTGGAGCCCCCTGCTGGGTGACCTCGGGGTCCCAGGAGCAGAGGGGCCGGGCCGGGCCCTCACTGAGGAGACGGTGGTCTGAGGACCGGCCCTGCCCGCACACGCTCTGTCCCACTGCGGCTCTGGCTAAGGGAGAAGGGCAGGGCCTGGCTGGCCTCTGGCCTCCCCATGCTCCCCTTCTCCTCTCCCTGTGGATCGGATTAAAGTTCCTCCCTCTTCCTCTTCAGAGAGGAATGTCTGCATGGGATTGCGCCATCGTTTGCCCCCCAAGCCTCAGGCTGGGAAAGAACCTTGCCCTCCGAAAGTGGGGCCTCCGCTCCCTGTGCTTCAGAGGGCAGTTCCCACGCCTCCGCGCCCCGCCTGCACCAGGCAGCGTGCTGCGGGCTCTCTCCGAACCGCGGCTCCCTTTCCGCGGCCCCTCCGCCGGGGGGTCAGGCCCGGCGCGCGCCTGGCGGACGCTGCACCAGAGGCGCCGCAGTGCGGGTGCGGGTGTGTCCAGCGCTATTATCAGCCGGATCGGGCTCCGCATACAGAACCGTTGGAGGAGGAGGGAGCGGGCCCCGGAGAAAGGAGGGTAATGTGGCACCTGAGCCCCAAACTGCCCACAGCGAGGCTCGCTGTGCACAGCACAGGAGACCGTGCCCTGGGCTAACAGACCGTGCCAGGGTCCCAGGGTCCCCGGCACTCTGCTGTTTCTCTTGAACCCCAAGCTCTGAGGGCTCTGAGAGCCCTGAGCGAAGAAAGCCCCAGAATTGGCTAGAACTTTAACTGTGAGGAGCCTGAGAGTTTGGCCTTCTCAGCAGCTCTAGAAGGTGGGGTGTTCTGTGGTCCTCCCGGCCGGCTGGTGGAGTGAGCAAAACAGAAGGGAGACACTCAGAGCCGGGTGGACGGTGGAGCCAGGGCTTTGCCAGGAGCTGTGTGTGAACAAAACTTACAGGGGATGAAAGTGGAAGGATGGGCCAGTGAGGAGGAGAGGAGAGGCCCGAGAAGAGGGAGCACCACTCCCGGCGACAGGCGCTTTGTCTGAGCGACAGGCGCTTTGTCTGAGCGGTGGGGATGGCATCAGCTCAGGAATGCTGGGGCAGAGCCTGTGAGCAGCCGCTTCACGTCTCTGAACCAAAAAGCTGGGAAGAGAGCCCAGAGCGGCAGGAGCCGTGTGGGCACTGCGCTAGAGAGAGGGTGGGAGTGAGGCCCCTCGGGCGGGTGCCCAGGACGGCCATGAGAAGCTCCCGCTGAGCCAGTTCCCTTCTTCCTCCTTGGTGCAGCCGCCAAGCCCATCCCTGTGCAGCCCAGGCCCGGCCGGTGGTGGAGCTCTGCAGAGCCCACACCTCCGGCCGCGGGGCAGTCTCCCTCTGGGGACCCGGGGCGGCTGGGCTGTAAGAGGGAGCAGGAAGGATTGGCGGGGGTGGGGGGCTGTATAGTGCCCAGGGGCCCCAGGTTGGGGAGATGCATTCTGCATACTGGAGGACCAACAGGCCCGGGAGGGACAGACTGGAGGAGCTGGAGTTTGGCAGAGGTGTTGGGAGGAAGCTTCTGGGTTTTGGGGAAATCTCACCAGGCAGAAGGGGGCCAGGCAGCCATGAGCACACTCGGGTTCCTGGAGCTGCAGCCGCCACAGTGTCCTGTGGACGTGAAAGAGCAGCTCTAAAAACTGGAACCCCGCTGCGGGGAGGCCAGCCTCCGGCCTCCGCTGCGAGGAGGCCAGCCTCCGGAACCCCGCTGTGGGGAGGCCAACCTCCGGCCCCCGCTGCGGGGAGGCCAGCCTCCGGCCCCCTGGCCTTGGTCATGCCACAAGGACAAAGACATGGGCTGCTGTCCTATCAGCAGGAGCTCCGTCTTCTCAGGTAGCAGAGGCCACAAGGAGTCTGTGTTTGGAGATGACAGGTCTCGAAGCAACCTCCCCCGAGGAGGGAGACCTGGCTCTCACGGGCTGGGCTGTGGGGAGTGGGACACTTAGTCTAGGGACTCCCACTTTGACAGGCACAAGCCAGGGTGGGATTGCAGACGTGGTGCCCAGTGTGCCTTGGTTTTGCTGGAGGCGGTGCGGAGGGTCTGAGGGCAGTGCTTCTTCCTGAGGGGCGGGGCGGGCGGCCACACGGAGAAGGCAGGGCCCGGGGACCTGCTGCCTGCTGTGCGGCGAACGTGTTGATGCCTGCAAGGTGCGTGTGCAGAGGCAGTGCAGGGAGCAGTGGGCGAGCGCTGGGGATGGGCGAACAGAGGCGCTGGAGGCCGTGGAGGGAGACCCCGAGCTCAGCGCTCCTTCGGTCCCTCCAGCCTTGGAAGGTTCCAGGCTGAGGAGCCGGCCCCTTCGGGGTCCTGGAGAAGTCCTGGCCTCTGAATTGGTACGTGGCACACTGGCCCTCCGGTAGGCTGTCCTCCTTGGTTACCCTTTTGGTCACATTCCAGCCCAAGTCCTGTGAGTGCCCACCCTGAACTGCAGGGGCTGACGGGGGCCCTGTGGCAGGTGTGGGTCCCAGGCGTCTGGACTAGCTCTCTCCTCCCCTTACTCTGCCGGGTGCTTGCTGGGCCTGCAGACAGGATCACTGTGCCCGGCAAGAGATGCAGCCAAGCTCTCGACTTCAGCAGAGTGCCTCCCTGCCGGCCTGGTCTGGGGCCGGCCACCCTGATGCGCGGGAGGGGGTCCGGAGGCTGCGGGTGGTGGGTGTCTGTCACCTCCTCCAGCCTGGCCTGGCAGAGAGCAAGGTGCTGCGGCGGGGACAGGCTAGGTTTGGTCCAGAGGGAGCGTTGCAGAGGAAGGGATCTGGCACCTGGAGCATCGCCTGTGTCTGTGCAGCTGGACGGTCTCAGGCTCCGCGGTCTCACCTGAGGGGATGAGCACCCTGGGTAGACAGGATTTGTCACCCACAGTATCCTCTGGACACTTGTATCCATACTTTTCAGAAATGTAGACAGGCGGAGGTTCAAGCCTACAGAATAGTGAAGTGATGTAGACGGAATCCAAACAAGATGGTCAGTGCCCACTGCTCCCAGGGAGCCTAGTGCGACGTCCCGGGCACCGAGAGCGTGGGAATCAGACGGAGTCCGCATGCCGCCCCACAGCTTCTCACCAGTGCCTGCGGCACGCTGACTGTGAGCCCCACATCACCTTGGCAGCGTAGCCTCATCATGTGGACACAAAGGCATCATGTGATTAACTCAGCCGTTACCAGCCACCTGCTGTGTGGCAGGCACTAGGCCGGAGAGAAGAGAAAGCAAGCCACGGGCATCCCATGAGCTCCTGGGAGAGGGGTGGTCAGGCAAGCGCAGAGGTCTGAGGGTGGCACCATGCTGTGTGGCTGGGATGCATTGAGAGGGGGACAGCCATGACGGTGGCCTGGGAGCGAGGCCATGAGATTGTGGCCCGGAAGGTGACCTCACTGGCTGGTCTTCACGAGCGCGGCCTACTGAAGCGAATGCTCCGTGGGAACAGGAAGCAGAGCAGAGTCTGTGGGTTCCTGGGAGGGGAGGGGCCAACTCTCTGTTCCGCAACCTGCAGGCCGGGCAGCGGTGCCTCTGGGCCTGCTGACCTCTTACAGGTCCCAGCAGGCAGGCAGGCAGGCAGGCGAGCCAGTGCCCGCTGTGCATCCGTGAGAGGCGAGAGGGTGAGGATGCCAAGTGGGTGGTATGTGAGGGGCTGCAATGACAGCGCTCCGTGCTGTGCCCACAGGCCTGCACGGGCGGCTGGGGCACAGCACGCCTCGCATCTGCAGAGCAGAGCCTGGTGTTCCACAGGAATTAGCACCGTAAGTGCTTTTGCCTGAGGGCGTTTGTCCTAGGACAAGCGTCGCCTTCCTCCTGGCGATGCCGCCGGCGGTGTGGGGCTGGTGCCATGGAGCCAGCTGGCCACGGAGCGAGTGCCACACGGCTCGACGCTGTTGGGGCTGTTTCTATTGGGAGGAGGCTCTTCGCTGAAGAAGCCCTGCTGGCCTTGCAAGCCAGGGCAGCGTGACCGGCGAGGCCCATATCCCCCCCGCCCCCCCGTAACTCCCGGTGTGCGGCGGCGTCACAGTCACGAAGGGGTGGCAGCTCTGGGCCGCCCTGGGCTCTTCCCCTTTCTGCAGGGGTTTCCGGACGCCTCTGGGCCCAGCCTGGGCCGTGTCTGCTTGTGCTGGAGTCGCCTGCCGGCCACAGGATCGGGTGGGAGCACTTTCCCAAACCCCACCTCTTTCCCCGGGATCCCTGGAGCTGCCCCGGTCAGGGGTCATGACCTCAGGGCCTTCTGTAGTGTGTGGCCTCCAGTTCTCAGAGGCTTTGGACCTGGCCAAAGGCCTGGGAGGTTTCCCAGCTTGCCCGTGGCTCTGGTTGCTGGTATGTGGGGAGGGGCCCTGGCAGGTGGGGACCTCGGGAGTCACTGTAGATGCTCCTAAGCGGACCGAGGTTTCACCGGGAACACGGCAGAGAGCAGAGCCAGCGCTTCCCCGTGAGCGCAGCGGCCAGCACTGGGAGCTTGAGGCCCGGGAGCGCCTAAGGCTGCGGTCTGTTAGCGGGAGGCCTCGGGGGGTGGGAGGACCAGCAGGCTTTGTGGGCGTGAGCGTGCCACGCTCTCTCCCCGAGAAGGCTCTTGGGCTCCGTGTGGTGCTCTGGTGTTGCTGTCCTGAATTTTTTTTTTTTTAATATATTTTTTATTGATTTTTTACAGAGAGGAAGGGAGACGGATAGAGAGCTAGAAACGTCAATGAGAGAGAAACATTGACCAGCTGCCTCCTGCACACCCTGCACCGGGGATGTGCCCGCAACCAATGTACATGCCCTTGACTGGAATTGAACCTGGGACCTTTCAGTCCGCAGGCCGACGCTCTACCACTGAGCCAAACTGGTTTCGACTGTCTTGAAATTCTTAGTGATTTTTAAAGAAGGAGCTCTGCATTTTTGTTTTTATGGGGCCCCACAAAATATCTGGTCCTGTCTAATCAATAAGCATAAGACTCAGAAGTAGGA